CCATTGTTTATATTTTGAGAATGGTTTGTAGAGCTGCTAACAGATGTAAAGTATTTGCTTTTAAATATTTGATTGATAATTTTGAAGGAAATTAATTTACTATTCGGTATATATCGATACAGAACAAATATTAGATATTGAATTTGGGATATCAAATGTAATTTAGGATTGAGATTGAGATCGAGTTTATGACACTATTTGATATTTTGGTATTTGGTATTGGGATACCGATACTGTACTGATTTTGAACCAATCACATAAATCATGGTTGGGAAGGGGACGCTTTAGGAGTAGTTAGGACTGGGAGTGGTCATTGAACTGAAACCCATGGATGCCCAACCCAACTCAACCCAATCAAAAGTGGGTAAAGGCCAATGTTGACTGGCTTTAGTTGGGTATTTTTCAAAATTAGTCAATTGTGTCGGGTGCAGTTTTCCTAAACCCAACTCCCTTTCTACTCGAGCTATACCCAAAGGTAAAACCACATCATTTTTTGTCACTCTAATAATATAGATAGTTTATAGTTGTTATTAGTTTTTATACAATTGATTCCAAACTGATAGTATTAAAAGCAAGAAACCCCCAAAGCTAGCTTGTTTACAGGGTTAGATCCCACCCTGTAAGTTAGTTAGCTTGAGAGAATTAGCCTGGCCAAACCGATTCTTGAGCTCATTCCACAGAACCTTTGTTATTTCATGGGTTCACACTCCTAGGTATTTCCTTATCAAGAGAATAGTTTATCCAGCAAAGCACTATGGTATTACAAGCATCCCATATGTTGAATGTTTCATAATTAAGATTTTGAATTGGGATAGACCCATCTATGAGATCCAACTTATGCTCGGTCTTAAGAACAACCCTTACAACTCTAGACCACATCTGATAATTTGGACCATCTAGGATTATAGGAATGATAGATTGAGTAAGATTTTCGTTTGGGTTGATATAGTAAGCGTTACCTAACACTGAATCCGCCGAACCTCGAGCAGTGTTGTGATTTGGTCCTTCAAGTTTTACTGTACCACCCACGGTAAGTAACACATGTCCAACAACAAGAGATCTGTAAATTAACTAATAGCATAAAAACGTAAAATTGTAAACTAAACAATTCGCCGATGTTTGGATAAGTGGGTCTCTAGGAAAGAAACAAAACGTTTCCCATACAATAAATCGCTCTTTCCTCCTAGAGGTCCTTCGTCGGGTCTGCTGTGCTCTGCAACTCCTTCTTCCTCGAGTTTTGGACAACACTGTCTTCTCTATTCAAGTCGACTAAGTCCACCATCTTTAATACTCTCATCCATGGTGTTGGAAAGGATAGTTGAATTGATACTAGTCTAGTGCATGCTTGCCAATAAGTACAATGATTGGTTCTCACTTATCTTTCAGTTTATTTTCTACACGCACCAAATCACAACATCACAAATATAAACCCACATTGTTATATATTATTAATAAGGTTATGAATGGTTTGTCTTCGCATGGGGAGGAGGTCGATTCGCCATCGTCGAAGCCTGCTCCAACTGACGTCGATGGCAAGATGTCGGAGTGGATGACAAGATTTCTCTAGTTCAGGGGAGTCGGGGGAGTAGAGAGGAAGACAAAAAGTTATGTCGTGTGTAAAAGGTTGGGAGGGAGTCCGTAGGGTTAACTTAAAATTTTTTGCTGGATGTTTAACTTTTAATTAATTGGAGTTTAGGGACATAAACAAATTAAAACCAAACTTAGGAGTAATTAGGAGTAAATAAAGCGCAATTGGATAATTTTCCAGTCGATTAAACAGTCATTTTACAGATAATTGGAGAATGTAGGTTTAACTTTTATTTTTTGAGAGATTTTTAACTTTTAATTACAATAAAATCTCTATAAATTAATACTAAATAAATTAATAATTTTTCCGATCCTTGTTTAGGCTAATGTAAAAAATAGCAAATTTAATAAATAATAAGATAATAATTTTTGAGAACAAACCTAAATAAATACATGTATTTTCAAATATATAAATTAATAACTGTAAAAATATAATTCATTAAAAATCTATCATATAATTAGGATAATTTAAAAAAATGAATCTATAGTTTTTTTTGTTTCTTCTTGAAAGTCAAGTCTATTAGAATTTCATCTTGAACATTGCTCATTGCACTCCAAATCACTAGTGTTGTCTTTTCTAATTGTAATAAGTATTTTAAAAGAGTTGATACGACTTTAACTACTTTCTTTTGCGTGACTAGTTTTGAAAGTGTTGAACCATCATTTTCTTAATCCTCCATTGAACTCTCAACGACATCAGCAACTATTTCTTCTAAACTTTGTGTCTCGATACATTTATCAATTAAATACAATGAAATTTAAAAAGTTAAATTTATCAATATATAGCAAATTTCTTTTTTTTTTCCAAAAGATCACTCGTATTACCGAGAAAGCCAGATACAAGAAGTGACACGGCTGAATACAGCAAAGAAACAAAATTGAACCCTACTAAAATATAAAAAAGGGTACAACAAAAGGGCCTTTCTTGCCACCAAATGGGCAACCCTGTAAGCAAATCTATCTATCTATACATAATATTATGGCAATTCAAAATTAAATTTTTGCAACATAAGCACTTGGAGAGATCTCAAGTAGCCAATGTGGACAATCTTTTTACCAAAAAAATAGTTGTTGACCTATTTATGGAGTTGCCCCTCTCTCTTCATTTAATATTTAATTCTCTTTTATCCAATAATTATTTTGCTTTTGTTTTTGCATTATATTTATAAATAATTTATGGAGAGAAAGGTTATCAAACCAGTTTAGCAAGTGGAATGGTTTTACCAGTGGTACAACCAGTTTGTGTCGTTTCATGCCGGTTAATACAATAAGTAGAAATATAAAAAATTATTAATATCAAATTAATTTAATCATATATAAACCATATTTGAAGACAATTTACGTACAATTCATATTGATATTTGAATAAAATATGATATTTCAAATAAAATTACATGTACTCATACTTAAATTCACTAAAACTACGTAATTCACTTAGAAATTCGTAAAACGATCATACCGGTCATACCGATGGTGTCATGTCGATTACATGACTGGTACCGGTTAAATGGTTCAACCGGTGGCATGCCAGGCGATGTGACAATCATGATGGAGAGTGACATATATCGCATTTTGGTTTTGCATTATATCGATGTACGCAACAATATACTAATGTTCGTAGAGTGACATGCATATCACACTTTAAACCAAAAAATATATGATTAAAGATTACCATGTAAATTTCTCCTCATTTTTACTGAAACTTAATAATAATTTGCATTTTAATGAATAATTTAAACAAACACACAAAAATAATAATATTTTGTCGATAAGCTCTGAAAGAAACTTGACCAAGAAATAATAGTTATTATTAAAAAAGCTTCTTATTCATTCTACTCAAGTGAAAACATATGAATCGCATGTGCAGTATTTATAATGTATCCTAAGTTCACATTACTAATATTTTCTCTATGCCATGTTGATTGAGCAAACTCTATTGAGGTCTTACATCCAATGCTAAGAAATTTTCTTTTCAGACTTGGAGTTATTTATTGTTAAAGATTATAAATTGAAGTTTCCAAAATGACTTGAGTATAATAGTTGATGAACTTTGACTTCATATGCTAGGATGAGACATGAGATCACTTGAAAAATGAAATGTGTGAAATTTAGAGAAATCTTTGTTAAGGATGTATGTTAAACATCACATTTCATGCTAAGAAAAATCTAAATTCGAAGATTAAGGTAATAAATAAACATTAATGTTTTACTTCACATATATAACAAAAAAACATTAAAGTTACAAGGGTCAAAAGAAGAATATTTAATAAATATGAGTTTAGTAAGAAAATTGTAACAAGTCTATATAGTTGTGAGTCTGTGATTTCATACCAAATTTTGGCTATAATAAAAAAAATTGATATCATATTCCACCCAAGGAGCTGTGTTCAAAGGTATTAATTAGTGTTGAAAGTAAAATAAAATCTTTGTATATATATGTTTAGATATTAAGAATAGATGTGTCTGCAATACATCCAATAATTTAAATACACGTGAAAAGCCACAATATTTGTATGAACTTTTTAATTTTGCTACAAATATTTTGTTAAAAAATTATAAGTTAATTATTCAAGGAATACATAATTTTGAATGCACCTGAAATATTTGTCGGTCGTATACACACTTTACCAATTATTAATATAAGTGATGAAATTTTTGTTCTAGAACAAACACCAAATATAAAGAAATTTTAGCGAATGGACATTCAAATAGTTGAAAAGTTATACATTGAAAGAACATGTTAAGATGAGAACCTTCGATAGTGTATATGAATCCTTGGATTCAGATTTTTTTTTTTAACAATTCTTGGATTCAGATTCTAAACGAACATCTAGACAAAAGACATGGGTTGATGGTTAGTACAAACTTAAAATATTAGCAATTGTAATAAGTTGCTATACAAAGACTTCATGAACATCAACAATAAAAATGAGTGAGGTTTAGATAATTTAATCATTTTAAGAGATATGATATGTGTCAAATTTCAATTGGGATAAACATAATTTATCCAGTAATCAAGTATATTTTCCAATAATTTGAACTATGATTAATTGGGTGAGAGTTCGTACAAACTCGAGAATCATGAATTGATATATGTATAAAATAATAAATTTGAGCGTCTTGGTGGAATTTTTTTTATACGATTCTAAATGGGATGTGATAAACCTTTACGACATGACTTATGATGAGAGAATAAAAACATCACAAGCGAGTAACTATTAAATATTATTCGATATAGACATACCACATATTCACTTATGAAGCGAGAGCATAAAATGTATACAAGATCCAAAAAGTTTAAAATATATAGATAAGTTAACTAATATAAATAATAAAATGAACTTCTCTGGCCAACTGACCGGGTAGAAAACTAGTTAGAAAAATATATTTTTACAAATTTTTTTAGAGGAATATGTTTGCTAATTTACAATGAAAGAAGAATGCCTTTATTAATTTATTACAAAATACGGGTAAAAAACAAAAACAAAATGTCTAGATTTTCACAAACTCCGCGCCGACTTAGCTGCCTCCTTTAAGCGTCTGTTGCTCGTCGTCATCAGTGGAATCGCATATTGAAATCAATGGCCAGGGCTTCCGCTGCCGGCACTACCGTCCTAGTTTGATTCTCCGTTGCCGAACTCGTAGGTTTCAGAATTCAAATCGAGCTGGAAAGGAACGATGCCTCGGTGAGAGCTCCTCTCCCTCCTCCGACCTTTTTTTTCCTTTTCGTTGCTACACCGTGATTCGTTCTGGCGACAGAATGTTCATCTTTTCACTTTCTTTTATTTGTTGTTTCATTCAGGTATTACTGTGACTACTGCGATACTTACTTGACGCACGATTCAGTAAGTGTCTTCTTCCTCTGCTTCTCCTCGATACATGCTGCACTTTTAGCTGCCTAGGGTTAGGGTTTTGGACCTCAGTAATTTGGTTTGCTCCTTCATGATGATGAAATTCTCTGTCTTTTCCTGTTTCAGCCATCTGTTAGAAAGCAGCACAATGCGGGCTACAAGCACAAGGTACTTGCTTGTCTGTTCTGTATTTGTGTTATCCATGGGGCTGGCTGGCTGTTTACATTGCCATTATTTGTTTCTGATTAGCTTCATCTTCTTACCTCTATAGGCGAATGTAAGAATCTACTACCAGCAGTTTGAGGAGCAGCAAACCCAGAGTTTAATTGACCAGCGGATTAAGGAACATCTTGGGCAAACTGCAGCATTCCAGGTTGGAGGTGCATACAATCAGCATCTCATGGCTCAAAGGCCGCGTCTTCCCATTTTGCCCACACCTATGATGCCAATTCCTGGGAACCCTAATCTACCTCCCGGCGCACAACTAATGCCTGGAATGAGGCCTCCGCTTTTGCCTAGACCTGGCATGCCACCTCCTGGTGCTCCAGGTAATAACCTGCAAAACTTTTTTTATGGAGCACTTATGCTTCCTCCTGGCCCTGATAGCATTTACTAAAGTTTTAGGTTGAATTTGCATTGTTTGATTAGATTCCCATCAACTCTCTCTATCAATCTACTGTCTTTGTCGAGTTTGTCTAATATGGCGTTTCACTTCTTAATGCTGAATGTTATGACTTGGTGATGTATATATCTCGGTGTACTTGCCAAGTTTCACAGTCCTCTGTCATTTTTACGTTTTCATGCAGTTGGCTTACCCCAATTATTGCCTGATCAGACCATAAATTCATTACCAGGGGATTTGGTTCTTGATGTCAATAGAATGCTAATACAACATGATATTAGTCACGCTGAAATGAGCTGTAGTGGTCTGTGAATATAACCAAAAATTACATACTGGTATCTGGTGGACCATTTTTCATGGCTTCTACTATTTGGTTGGTGAAATTCTCAGACTGGTTTTGAGGACTATCTGCCTTCTGTTGGTTGCTGTGTGTCATAAAGGGAAATTTCATAGCATGTGTTGCTTTTATTTGATGATGTATCATGCGACAAATTTTGAAACTGAACATTTTCCCTTGTGGTGTTGGTTAGGTTACATGCCTGTTCCAGGGATGCCTCCAATGATGGCACCACCAGGTGCTCCTTCCTTTCCTGGTCAAGTAAATGGTGCACCAAGGCCACCTCCCCCAGGTATGGTTCCAGCAAGTGTTCCTGGGAGTACTACGCCCATGCCAACTGCTCCAGGTCCACCACCCTCAATGGCTCCACCTCCCAATTATCAGCCGCATACCCAAGCACCCTCAAGCGGGGGTTTTGATAGCTACAACAATGTTAATCCACCAGCTCCTGAAGCAAATCATTAGTCTCTTATCACATGGTATGCACTTGTCTTTCAATCTGGTGAATTGCAGAGCCCAATTAACTTATAATTGGTGTTTGTTGAAAATCTGCCTTTGTGCATAAAATCTTGCAGATGAAACACATCTGCGCATTGACGCACCTTGTGCGACAATAGAAGAATCTAAGTATCAGCTTTGCTCCATGAAATGTCTGGGAGAAATTGACCGATGCTCTTATCTTACAAAGTCACACTGATTAGTATTTGTCATTTTTTCTTGGGAAACTAGTTGGCTGGAACATCAGGCTGCACTATGTGTCCCTGTATTGGCAAGTGAAATGAGAATTTGTTCTGCAAGTTTTGCTGTTTTAAAAACTTAGAATGTGTGGTCTTAAATCTTAACTTTAGTTTCTATTACCGGGGTTCTCTGATTTAGTTTTTACCGGAAGCACAATCATCAATACTTGCAGAGTGAAACGGTGTCGTTAACACAGACCGAAATAAGTAACACCTTTATTATGGTGCAGTGAGATGAACAATCAATATGCATGGTAACCCAGAAGCACAGCACTGAGCACATCAGAATTAGAAGAGAGTGAGTCGTTATTATCACCATTTCCATTAGGATTACCATTACCATCCCCTTCTCTTCTCTTTTCTTCTTCTTCTCTCCACTTGGTCTTCCTCAACCAGTGCTTCACCAAAACAACTCCAAGCCAAAGGAAAACGGTCCCCAAACCGCCACCACAAATGGCCACAGACGCTTCAAACTCCCAGCTCCCCTCGTGACCATGCGGCATAATCACACATGTCCCTGCTACGTAAGCTACAGCCATGAAAGCCACTGCTACCCATAACAGCTTGTGAGCAACCCTGAGCAGCTTCATCAGCGGCTTCCTCCGAAATGGGATGATGCTGACCAGAACCACCACTATCCCAAGAGACGTGAACAATGCAATGTTGTTGCTTATCATGAAAACCCTGAAAGCTGTTGTTCTCCCCATCATCGATCTCCCTCCCAATCGACCATCTTGATGGACTCCACCTGGAGGGTTGATCCCGGCTGCGAAAGTCACTGTGGCGATCAGTATGGCTACTAGTATGATTGTGTTTCTGGCATTCTGCATAGCCTCTATGTACACCTTCTGGTTCTTCTTGTGCTGCATCTTGTAGATTTTGATCAGCTCCTCCCTTCGCAGCCGGCTATCATGCTTAAATCGTTCTGCTGCTGCTGTTGTCTTTGTTGCAGAGTCTTGCCTAATCTGCGGGCTGGTGGTTCCCTCGTTTGATGTTGAGATTTGATGAAGATTTTCAAATGAGTAATAGTTCCGTGATAGGGCTATTATTCGGCTATATTCGCGCTCCAATGCCTCTCTGGGGCTCTCTTCTACTTCTTCTTCTGAGCTGCTTGTTTTGCCACCTGCTCGTACCAACATTTCTCTCAGGGTGCTGAGTTCTACACTGTTTTCAGCATTGTTTACTACCATATCAAGTGCTGTAAGTCCTCTGGCATTTTGTTGGTTGATCTTCACTCTTGTTTCATTGATTATGAATCCTGCTAGCTGCAAGCCAAAGGAGAGGCGTCTTTGGTTAAATCCTCAATTACAAGAAGAAGAAGAAAGTGTGTTTGGCCAGACTTGTCTACTCCAAAAGTGCAAGTTAGAACGAAAAAAGTGAATGAAGTTAGAAGAAACAGATGAAATATGGATGTAGACTACCGAGTAATGTCCACCAGAGACTCCAACGTGTAGAACTGTGTTCCCAAACTGGTCAGGGCAGTAAAGCAGCCTGGTGTCACTGAAAGCACCCGCCAGGAACTTGAATGCAATGCGTCTGTTGAACCTTGCGGCCAGATGAAACACGGTTTCACCATCCGTGGTGAGGCGGTGGAATGATACAGGATCCATCTCCATGAATGCTTTGAGGGTTGTAGCATCACCGTTGATGGCTGCCAAGTGAAGTGGCGTGTGGCCATTGTTGTTGACTCGCAGGGCCATGCCCTTGTCATGCTTTAGAAGCATCCTTGTTATGTCCAGGTGGCCTTCGCTGCAAGCATAGTGCAACGGGTTGCATCCATTTTCGTCCATCTTCTGTGCCAAGTTTGGCGATGCCTTCAGTATCTCCCTCACGATTTCTGCATAATGGATGCAATAATAAATCTCAATGATTGCAGTCTTACAAATGGATTGCGTTAAAATTTTGTCAAGATGTGTTTTTCTTTCCACATACCTGTGTGCCCTTTAGACGCAGCAACATGAAGAGAAGACATGGAAACATCGTCATCATCTTCAAGGTCCAGCAACCATGGTTGACTCAGTAGAATCTTAACCACATTTAAATGACCATTGCTGCTACTGAGGAAAAGAGCACTTTGATGATTGCAGTTGAGCTTGCAGGCCACCCATGGATGAGCCTCTAGCAGCATCAGCACAACCCTTGGGTTGCCTTGCCTGCAGGCCTCATGGAGCGGAGTTTCCATGTTCTTGTTCTCAGCCAGAACCATCTCTGGCTTAAGCTTCACAATCTCCATCACCAAATCTTCTTTTCCATATTTGGAAGCCAGGTGAAGTGCTGTTTCCAAACCAGACTTGGTGGTATGGTCCAGAATGTTGCCGTTCTCCCGAATCAAGCTGCTCAGCATTTCCCTGTCATTCCTCAATATTGCTTCAAACAGAGTTGGGTGCATTTTTACTGGGATTTTGGCCTGATTGAGGGTGGTTCTTAGGAAAAATGGCTCTAAAAATTCCATCTTCTTAAGTTTTCATTAGGGAGAGGGAAAGTGGAGACAAGTTGACTGACTTTTGCTCCATGATTAGGACTTACAGTGTTGATTCTCAGAAATTTCTTGATCCTGTCAGCAGCAGAGGATTTTCAAGGAAGTCCAATTTTTTTTAGGCCCCACCTTGTTAAGATCCTTTTACTTTTCTAAAAGTGACTCGTAGTTTAGTTAATTTGATTCTTAGTTTCATGGATGGGGTTTAAAGTTTAGAGCAATAAGAAGCGAGCAGAAGCAGGAATGACAAGTAAACAACAGGAAAGCTAACATTGATAAACAAAAACAACAACACTAGTGCTGTCCAACAATCTCAAACTCTCCAAACTAATAATCAACCAAACAATAAATGACAACCAACAACTAGAATCCGACTGACACTGAAGGAAACAAAAACAAAAACATAAGTAACCAAGAGAAATTCTGCTGGTCTCATGGCGCACACAAGAACAGGGCAACAAATGTGGCAATGAGAACAACAGTGACACAACTGACGATGACCGACACGATCACTGCAGAGCTCGGCTGATGAGGTTCAGATGATGACGGCACCATGGAAGATGAAGAAGAAGATCCTTCTGGCGGGTAAGCATAGGCAGGTGGGAAGGCAGGCTGAGGCGGCAGAGATGGATGGTGTGGGTGCTCATGATGGTACATCGACATTACTTCAACAACAAGCAACTGCCCGTTGTTGCAGTGGTTGAAGTTCCCACTGATGAAGTAGAAAGGCCCCGGCTGCTCCAGCTTGAAACTGCTCCTCCCATTGTCGAAAACCGCGGTTGCCGTGCTGGTGTTGCAGTGGTAGTAGCCCCATTTGTCCACTTCTGCTACTGAATCGTTCTTGTACTCAAACACTGCAAACGAAAAAACAAACATAATCAAGGGAACGGAGGGAGGGAGGAAGAATGGAAGGAATGGAATTTGTATCCTTTGAGACTTACAAAGGGAATCTCCAACTTGGAATCTATTGGCGGTGGCCCACTGAGCGTAGAGCTGGGAGTTGTTGCTGGTTGGTTCTTGCCATCCGAAATCGTCACCGACCTTGAACACCCTTGCAGCTTCAGATGTGGCTGCTGAGTTGGTGATGATCATGATCACCGCCATGGCTGCTGCTGCTGCCAACAAGGGGAATGCTGCTGCTGCTTTGCTGGCCTTCTTCATTTTGTGCGGTGATGGAAGCGAGAAAAAGGTGAGAACTTTGGGGTGTTTGGGGGTTGATCTCTGAGAAAGTTGGAAGCTTTTGAGTGAGCGAGGGAGGAAAAATGGTGAATTGGGTTGGTGGAGTTGGGGTTTTATGCTGTGGGAGAGAGTAGCAGTAGTGGGGAGCGGTTGTGGTTTGAGGGGAGAGAATGTGGGTTTCTTTGGAGGGAAGGCAGAGAGAGAGGTGGGGGCAATTTTGGCGGTTAAAGTGGAAGTTATACAGGGAATGAGGCTGACTTTTTCAAACAAACACGAGTTAAAGAGAACAAGCAGTTTAACGGGCCTAAAATGGACGAGGGAAGAGATTGCGGTTAGAGCCCAGAACTATAAACACGTTCAACAGAGACGGAGGGAGAACCCAATTGACAATTGGCTCCAATTTGATCAAATTTAAGAGAAATCGACCCATTTATTTTGATCGGCTGACTTGGCATCTGAGACCTATTTGTCACTCGTGGATTCCTGACTAGTTCGGCCCGTGAGAATTAAACGGGTCAAACGTCAAAAACACAGTGAAAATATAAGTGAGGCTCTTAAAACAATTCCATTGCATATGTACTTAACTTCTTAGCTTTTCGGGGTTTTTTCTCTCGTTTAGCGAGAGTTTCGGAGGGGCGGAAACCCTAGGGTTTTTCCGAGTTCGAATGTGAGTCTTGATTTTGGATTGCTATAAGGAAAAGGATTCCCAGAGGAGAGTTTTGGTAGCATTGTTTTTGCCTATTTATATCGTTTATTCAGTCGAGCTATCGTGTGTAACCTGTTTTTGAGAGATCGTAGAGCTCATACAGAGAAAACCCTAGCGCAAGAAACTCTTCGATTTCTTAGTCACAGCGTGATTGAGTAGTCAGAGAGGTGAGCAAAAGAGAGCGGCGAAGTCATTTTCAGAATGGCAGAGGAAGCGGTGATGGATACAGCTACTAGCAAGGAGAATCGAGCAACGGAGGAACTGGAGGAACAGCTGAACCATATCACTTTTGAAGAAGAGGAAGAACCCCTGGAGGTAGATGATGCTGATGTTGATGTTCTTCGAATGGAGGCGGTTCGACGACTGGGCCTGATTGGACGTCTGGTATCTGAAAAGGAACCAAACGTCAAGTCAATGAAAATTGCATTGGCAAAAGCTTGGAAACTACGCAAGGGTTTCCAAATAACTGAGTTAGGAGACATGTTATTCGCTTTTCAATTTCTGGACATGGATGACAGGAATAAAGTCTGCTTTGGAGGGCCATGGCATTATGAGAATTCTCTGATTGTATTCAAAGTGAGTACAACAATACAGAAGCCAAAACCAGAGGAACTACATTTGATTGACCTATTGATAAGGGTGATAGGCTTCCCTGCTGAATTGCGTACACTCAAGATGGCAGAGAAGATTGCATCAAGATTTGGTGGCCTAGATTGGTATGATAATGGCTCCTCAACTATGTGGATGACTACATGCGCCTGAGAGTAAACCTATCTATAAACAACCCCCTGAAGAAGAAAATAAAGTTGAACATTGCAGGGAAGTTGGTGGAGTATCCAGTCAAATACGAGAAGCTACCTATGTTCTGCTATACATGTGGCAGAATAGGACATCCAAAACTGAAGGGTCAGATGGAACCAAAATCAGAGGTGGATCCATATGGTTATGATCTGAGGGTGGCAGCTCCAGGACCTAGAAACTGGCTGTCATACACTGCTAAAAAGGAAGATGCTGCTGTTTGGGCGGCTCTTAAACAAAAGTTTGATTGGGAAAGTGTGGGCTCAAATTCTGACCTCGATATGGCCTTTGAACAAGTAGAGATGAGACAACCTGAGGGGGCAATGGAACTAAGGAAGAAGCAAACTGGAGAGAAGCAACCACAAGAGGCACCAGGAATTGATAAACCAACAGAGATAGTTGGAGGAGGGGCTCCACCTCCCATGCTTCCGAAACAACAGGAGAAAAAGGAGTACCAACAGACTGGAGCTTTACAAAAGTTCGTGATGGGGAGAATGGAGGGACCAATACCTGGCAGAAACACTGGAAGAGTGTGGAGGAGGCAAGACCAAAACAGAGGGAAGACTGCCACTGGAATACAACTTACTCCACAGAAGCGACAGGCTTCTTCAATACAGAAGGAGGAACCTGCAAAAGTCACAATGGGGGAGGCAAGTAAGAAAGCTAAAGTGATTAATTTCACTGAACCTGAAACTCAATTGGGTCAAACTACAAATCATATTTTGGATGGCGGTGTGGCGGAGCCTGCAAAGGAGCAGGCCCGCCCAGCCCAATGAGTTATATAAGCTATAATTGCCGGGGTTTGGGGAGTCCCTGGCAATTAAAAAGCTGGATCGATTGATCCAAAGAGAAAACCCCAGAGTGGTTTACATCATGGAAACCAAAAAGCAAGAGAAAGAGTGGGAGCTGGTTGTACAGAAATTTCAAGGCTATAGAGGTTTTGGTGTGGGCGCGACGAGGAGGGCAGGAGGATTGATGGTGTTATGGCAAGAGGATGTGAAGTTAGAAGTGAAAGGATATGCAGAAAACTACATTGATATGAAGATAGATGATGAAGGAAATAGTTGGCGGCTAACAGGCATATATGGTTGGCCAGAGACGAGTAGGAAGCATCTGACTTGGGAGCTATTAAGGTATCTAAAAGATCAAACTGATCTACCATGGATGTGCTGTGGTGATTTTAATCTCATTCAACACTATGCAGAGAAGAATGGGAAGCAACCTGCTAAGGGATATGAAATGGATGGTTTTAATAGGGCTCTGGCGGATTGCCAACTGGAAGACCTGGGGTTCTATGGTAAACCATATACATGGGACAACAACCACAAAGACGATACCTTCTTAGAGGAAAGACTGGATAGAATGGTGGCAACTGATGCATGGAGGAAACTCTATCCTGAAGCTGGAGTTTACCATCTTAGACGTTGTGGATCAGATCACAACCCTATTCTACTCAAAACAAACATACTGGTGGAAGATGTAAAGTGGGGACATTATTTCAAGTTTGAGGCTTATTGGCAGGATCATGAGGAGTGCAGACAAGTGATAAGAGAAGGCTGGGAAACTGGAAGTGGTGATTCGATAACTGGAAGGATTAAGATATGTGAGGAACGCCTCAGAAGCTGGAGTAAGCAAACCTTTGGGAGCTTGAAGTCACGAAGGATCAAAACTGGCGAAGCTTGATAGAATTCCTAAGACAGAGGCTATTCTGGTTCAGAGAAGAACTCTTGAAAATGAGCTAGAAGACATACTCCTACAAGAAGAACTGATCTGGAAGCAAAGGTCCAGAAATGAGTGGTTGAAATTCGTAGATAAGAATACTAAGTTTTTCCATCGAAGAGCTTCAGATAGAAGAACTAAGAACATGATTAGGAAGATCAAGGATGAGAATGGAAGGATATGGGTTGGCCAAGAGGATGTAGCTCAGTGCATAGTGCAATTCTACAAGAAGCTATATTCTGCTGGGGAAAGGACGAGTGCTAGGCAGGTAATTGAAGCTGTACCTCAGAAAGTGACTACTGCCATGAATGAAAAACTTTTATTACCACTAACGAGAGAAGAGGTTTGGAATGCTTTGAAATCCATGGGACCCCTGAAAGCCACAGGAGCAGATGGAATGCCTGCCCTCTTCTTTCAAAAGAATTGGGATGTGATGGGAGATGACATAACTACAGAGTTACAGAGGTATTTTGAGGAAGGAACTTTCCCACAGCACCTCAATCGTACTCTCTTAGCACTGATACCAAAGAAGAAAACCCCCAACTCCCCTGTAGATTTCCGCCCTATCAGCCTATGCAAAGTACTATATAAGATTTTCTCCAAAGTACTTGCAAATAGGCTGAAAGGGATTTTAAACAGGATCATTGTCCCTAACCAGAGTGCTTTTGTACATGGGAGACTGATCACGGATAATGTGATAATTGCTTTTGAGTGTTTTCACTCGATGAAGGCTAGAGGAAATGGAAATAAGGGTTTCATGGCAGCAAAGCTTGATATAACAAAAGCTTATGATAGGGTTGAGTGGGATTTTTTGGAGGATGTGATGCTGAAGCTGGGGTTTGATCCGAGGTGGGTGCAAATGATTATGAATTGTGTTACTACTGTGTCTTTCTCTACTTTGGTCAATGGCCATCAAACAGAAACTTTCTATCCTAGCAGGGGATTGAGACAGGGGGACCCCATTTCCCCATACCTGTTTTTGTTTGTGGTGGAGGGGTTATCAGCATTAATCACTAAGGCAGAGAGGGAGAAACAAATTGAAGGAATTAAGGTGAGAAGGAATGCACCACAGATTTCCCACCTCTTGTTTGCTGATGACAGCATTCTGTTTGTGAGGGCTACGGGAAGAGATTGTGACAGGGTAAGGACCATACTAAGCACATATGAAGCTGAAACTGGTCAGCAGGTAAATATACAAAAATCTGAAATTTCTTTCAGCTCCAATGTGCGACAGAGAAGGAGAAGGGAATTAGGGGCACTGATGAACATGAGGGTTGTTGAACACCATCAGAAATACCTGGGACTACCTACAATCATAGGTCGTTCAAAGAAGAAAACTTTTGGGTACTTGGTGGATAGAGTGAGATCAAAAGTGAAAAACTGGAAGGAGAAGTTGCTATCAGTGGGAGGAAAAGAGGTTTTAATTAAATCTGTGGCACAAGCACAACTGACATATGCAATGTCAATTTTTCAAATCCCTGCGAGCACTCTGAAAGAAACTAAAAGAGCCATGGCTCAATTCTGGTGGGGACAACAACAAGAGGAGGGGAGGACTCATTGGATAAATTGGAAGGAATTGTGCAAGCCAAAGAAGTGGGGGTATGGGTTTCAAAAACTTGCAGAGTTTCAACCTAGCTTTACTTGGAAAGCAGCTATGGCGACTCATTCAAAACCCGGATACCCTGGTGGCACAAGTAATGAAGGCAAAATACTACGAGGATCGAGATCCTCTTAAGGCAGAAATGGGGAGGAACCCAAGCTGGATATGGCGGGGTTTGATGGCGGCTAAAGATTTGGTGAAGAAAGGTACGAGGTGGAGAGTTGGGAATGGCCATAAAATCGATATTTG